GGATTTTTATATATATTAAAGCGAGCCAAGACATTAATCAGGTAATATCTTACCATTTTTGTTTCTTGGGATTAATTAAATAATATCTCAGACTTCGTTTAAGCCGCCAAATATTCAAAAACAGCTTCTTATTGACTTTAATTACACTGGGAAACATATTTTTTAGGAGGATTTATAAAAATATTTGATCTTACCTAATTCGGATGTAGAGATTTCAAATCTGAAAATAATTTTCCTCGATAAGCTACAGATTTTTTTATAAAATGGTATTTTTAGTTACGTTTATTTTTCTGTCGGAAGTTACGAGGGTATCAATAACGTATAAGCTTATACATAACTTATAAATAACGTATAGGCTACTATAAAAACTTGCCTGCTCCATTGAAAATAACACTAAAGGAAAAGAGCACATGACCTTCATATTTCACTTTAAAAAATGAAATATATTATCACCTTATTCCTAGCACTCCATTTGTAGCAGGGATTTTGGAGTACATGGTATTCCTTCGAGGAAATATTAGAAACTTCTGGTGATAGTCTCAATAAATTGTATAAAACCTATTAGTTTAAATGAGAAACTGATGGCAGATTTGAAATCAGAGACTTGAAAATATTCATGATCCGTTCTCATGTAGCAGGGGGAAAAATTGTTCCTCTGTGTTACACGAACCTGATAACATAATTGCTTTCTATTGTCTGTTGATTTTGTTGTGTTAATTCAGGTACATGTGCATTGCAATAAATTATTATACCTAGAAATTTGGGGTGCAGCAGAAATGACTAATGCTACGAACCCCTAATTTCCCATTAAAGCTACGAATTTTTATTACGAATTATAGCATATCTCTTTATCCTCTTCTCTACTGAAATATAAAAGAATATTGCAAAGGAATATTATAAAGGAATATTGCATTTATACAAGTACTTGGTCTTAACTGATTCGGAAGTGAGGATTTCAAATCTGAAGCATTAGTTTTGTTCCAAAAAATGGAGATTATTATTAAAATGGTATTTTCGATTAAGTTTTTTTCATCTGTAACTACAAATTTATGAAAAATGTAGTTTTAAATGCATTCATATATACTTGTCTGTTTCTTTAAATATGACCTAAGACAAGAAAAAAATATGACCATAACATATCGCATAAATCGAATATCATATGAATTGAATTGTATTATCCCTTTTTTCCTAACACCGCTAGCAACAGTATCTATATAGGGCTATATATCAAGACGTATCTATATAGGGCTAATATTGGAAAAATAACGGCGCTTTGAACTCTTACGGAACCAAGATTCGTGAATATAGGTCCAATGAAAGCCCGAGTTATTTTTCTGTTAGGCACCCTGTAGTAAAGATGTATGGACCCTTCGCATTTACTCATGTGAATTTTTAAAAAAAAATCCTCTTTAGGGATAATTGCTCCTTAATTTTATTCTAAGTATCAGCTTTGTTATTTAATTGTTGATTTCCACATTATACCTTCACATCTGTCACCAAAGTTGATGGCGTCAGATTCACACTTGCACCTTCTCATACCTTTCTTAAAACGACACTCTTTAGATTTAGTTCCACAATCACAGTCTAAAAAGAAATGAAAACAACATATTTTTTATATTGTTCGCTTCTGTAACACTACCATAACCGGTCAAATGACCGATTAACAATTTTGCACTTATTGTTTTTGCACATTTGACTTCATAACTTTTTCTAACAATTATATACAGTTGATATTCCATTTATTATTTTTTGTATTTAGTTTTTGTTTCAAATAATACTTGTCGTATACCTATTTCTACTACAACCGGTCATTTGACCGAGAGCAAAATTAATTGCTTTATAAGGTTATCGGATCAGAAATGACGTTGCAATGCGTGTTCACGTATTGTATTCGATGAGTTGCACATTTCTGCAAAGACTGTTGTTCAGTCAGAATAACTGTTAGTTCAGTCAGAATAACTGTGAATTCAAATTTCAAGAAAGTACCGGACATTTCAGATTGAAATTTTTGTATCAGAAAAAGTGTCAAAAACTAAATGTTTTGGTAAGTAGCTTACATTTTATTTTGACAGCTTTACTTCATTTCTAACTAACTGTTAGCTTTTGCCAAGAAAAATGTCGAAACAATCAAGACAGCATAAGTTCTTAGAAGAAATAATATTAATTATATGAGTAATTATAAGAATTATAATTCTTGTAATTGTAAGCTTAATTATTAGAATTATTGAAATAATAATAATTAAAAGAAATATCTTTGCGGAAAATGTACAATGGAAACACCCGTATATGCAAAAAATGAATTGAGCAATGAATTAAAAATTCTATTCTTTGTGTTTGTAATGCAATAAAAATTGGTAATGTAAAATTTTATTTAATTATAATGAAGTTTTTTATGTTTATTTCCTTCCTAACATCCATATTTCATACACTCCATCAAGAAACATAAAGTTCAGTCTTTTGACAATCTATGTTAGAAATAGGTATGGATTAAGTGTTGGTTTGCTTTGTATTAAAGATTCCGACTTGTAAGTACTTCTAGTAAGATATTAAGACAACTCGCATTGAAAACTTTTGTGCAGAAAGTTTTGCTGAAAAATGTAATTAAATCTCTTTTATAGAATTTTTTTTGTCAAAATTTGAAATTCTTGACACATCGAATCCCTTGGCCAAATGATTTATAAAATTTTGAGTTTTAAAATATAAGATTTTTAAAATTTGGTTATAAGAATTCTTCATGTCTCTTGCACTGAGATCTACAAAGTGGTGTGTTCCCCGAAACGTTAACGTTACGCTATTTAACCTTCACAACACTTGTGGGAAAATTTTCCTTACAGATTGCAGTGTGAAGATGTAAGAAATATAGTTAAGCGTTGTAGGTTAACATGAGGCTAACTTTTATAATAAAGATATTTTGCATAATATTAGGGCTCCCTCTAACACTATCGTCAGTAGTGTTCGAATTTCACAGCGCGTGCGTGAAAATGTCAATAAAAATAACACTGTTTCGAAAGTGTAGAACATAAATTAAGCGTTACGTAGCTAAGACAAACTGAATTGAAAGCACTCTTTTTACGGATATAATCGTACGAGCTGATGAAGAGATTATTTCTTTTTTCTTTATTTTGTTTTCCCGGATTTTTAACAATGCTTTTTAAGATACATTATAAATTTTTTTAATTGTTTTTTTAAACATAATCTCATTTTAATAATTTTTCTTCTTCTCTTTTCATTAATCTCTATTATTTTCCATGTTTTCTCAATATTTGTGAGGTTGGAAAGATATATTATACTTTTGCAATTTTAATCTTTTATAGTAAAATAATACTTAATTTGATTTGGATAATATATAAATACATAAACCCTGTTTATTTTGATTGGGTGCAAAGTTCAAATAATTTGTCTATTTCTATCATTCATACGGTAAATTTCTAACGGTTGTATTAACCTTTTCTGGACTGGCGAGTCATAAATGTATTCGTACGGAATCAGAATAGAAAAAAATAAAAAGCGATAGCTTTAGTTTGGGCATAGTTAATTTGAAAGACTTATTCTTGCTTTCACTTTGAAGCTAACACTATAATTCGAACTAAGTAGTGGTGAATTGAATAAGGCAAACTATTTTTTCCCCGTCCGCAAATAAACTGTTGTAAAAATAGGTTGGCTCTTTTTTAACCTGATTATCGATTCCCTGAGAATGCATATATGACTCACCCGTCTCGAAAAGGTTAAATCTGAGAAAATTTTAAGTTACGCATAGTTTTCAATCAGTCGATTATGATGAAGTACACTGCCTTTATACAGAAGCTTCCGTTTCCTTAATAGTGATGTGCGAAAAACGAACGAATTGATATTTTAATCAACTCTTTTTTTGTGAATCGATTCATCAAGTTCATTTTTTAAAAAGAATCGATTCTTTTTCTTTTTTTGTTGTCAATATATGGTATTCTACACTGTGTAAGCTCATTCAGAGTTCATACTTACCAAACTTTCGCATATGCATTTCCTATAGCATTTCGTTTATACAATTGGGGCATGCTAAAATCCCAACTCAGTCGAATAGACACAGGTCCATTCTCACTCGATGATCATGTGAATGGCAATCTAATTTACTGAAAATATTTACATGTGAAAAACTGGCCAATAAGGTACTCGTAAGTGTGAGATTTTTTGCAGGCGGAAAAATCGCAGCCAATGAGATTGGCCCCAATGTCAATGTTAGCGCACAACTGGTCTCGAGAGGTGATTGATAAAACGGACTCGCTTGAAGAATGAAGGGAATGGAAAATGTTATTAATCCAATACGTACTGCATTCTGATGCAGTGAAAAGTATACATTACTCCCTCTTCTTTTTTACGAAATTAATTAACTCTATTAATAAACAGAAATTTAAAAATGGCAACAACAACTGAAAAGCTGTCTTCTATAGTTTCGGTTCTTCCTTTCAAATAAAAAGAAATTAAAGCTGTAAAGCCCTGTTATTACTTTTCAGCAATTTAGTATTAAAGAGCGAATTTTTTCATATACACGGGTAATTTTCTATTTATAAATTTCAGTAAATGTGAAGCAAAACAGAATTTTATGTTATCGTTTATTCCATGCCAAGAAGCGAGAGCTATAGAAAATGAAACCGTTGCGCTGATTGGGTAATGAAATGAAGTATGAATGCAAACCTCTGATTGGTTGAAAATGAGTTGAATGAGAGAAAAGGAATCGAGAATCGAATGAACGACCCTCTGATTGGTTGAAAATGAGTTCAATGAGAAAAAAAGAGTCGAGAGTCGAATAAAAGAATCAATGAACTGTTTGTCTATCTCTTAGCATTAAAAGAATCATAAGGCCAAATCGATTCTTTTGAACTCTTTCCTATCCCTTAACATTGAAATCGGCTCAAAGAGTTGAATTGAACTTCTAAACGATTCATTTGAGTCGTTTTGCATCTTTTAACATTGATATCGGCTCAAACAGTCGATTTGGACTTTTGACCTTTTGAGTCGCTTTCCTATACTTTAACATTCATTCGATTCATTGAACTGTTTAAACGATTTTTTGAGTTGGTTATTCGATTCATTTGAGCTGTTTTATATCTTTTAACATTAAAAGAACTGTTTTGTGAAACGATTCGATTCTTTTCGGTATTATCTTATTTTCTAAAATCAAAGGGTACCTTCAGAGGGTTGGGGTTATGAAGAGGGGCAAGTAACCAAAAATTTATAAAAAATGGACTTATTTATGAAAAATTGATAATTTTTTTTTTTAAAGAAAAAGTGAAAAAAAAAATATTTATTAATTTTTATATGGTTGAAAAATAGCTTATTGCGGAAAATTTGAATATTTAGAGTAAATATTTTTTTTTTAGTGCTGGGGGGAGGGATATTTATCTATTTTTTTTATGGGCAAATTTATTGAAAATTCAATTCACATCCTTTCACTTTTTCGATTATAAATCTTACAAATCTAGTGATTTTGCTAAACGAAAATGTTTCTTTTTTTCATTGGGGGAGGGATGAGGCAATTTTTAAAGTCTCTTTTGATTGGAGATAAGTAATATGTCATACCACTCCATACGATTGTTTTACCTTTCTGTAGTTTGTCATTTGAAAATAAAGTACGAATTGACAAATGATGAAATATTAAATTTTCATGGCTTCCTAAATAGCTTAAATTTTTTTTTTGTAATAAAAAGAAAGGTGTCTGTACATGTTTTTATCCTTGCGTTTTCGTTGTCTTCGTAAAGCGAAAATGTAATTGGGTGGTGGAGGTACAGGATCTTCCCATCAGCCTTGGAGGAACAGTGAATCGAATTTTTGTATATTTATTTTTTTACTTATTATTTCCCACCCCCTTTTTTTCATATGTCTATTATTTTTCTTTGTTTTATTCTTCATTTTGAACTTATCTAATGAGTGCTGTTTACTTGCAGCTTAAGCGCAATAAATGTTACTTATTGTTTTTCTTAACTTTCTTAGTGTTTTCTTGTATTTATTTATTTATTATATTCATTGTTGTCCGTNAAAATGTATATATATATATATAATATATATATATTTAAGCTTCAAAACGCAATTTAAACTATTTATTTTTTAATTTCTGGTCATACATCTTGAAATTTTTTCATTATAATATGCGAATCCACAGTTTGATTTTTTTACGAATATCGATTATTAATTATTGGTCTTTATATTGACCAATTTTAAAACAAAAAAAAAATTTAATAAAATCGTATTTCTAAACAAATATTAAAAAAATTGCAAATATTTAAATTCTGAAAAAAAAATATTAGTATTGCCTAGATCAGCAGTTCCCAAATGGTGTTCCACGGAACCATAGGGTTCCATTAAGAATTTCAGGGGTTCCTCTAGTTCGTACTTTTTATTGCCGTATTTGACTTCACCACCAAAGTGGAACTTTCTGCTTCTGCATCCTAGAGCCCAAGGTCTAGATTAATGGTTCCCAATTGATGTTCCGGGGAGCCCTATGGTTCCGTGGAAAAGCAACAGCGGTTACACTAGATAGCACTTTTATAGCCATCAAAGTAGAACATTAAACTTCTGCACCCTAGAATACGAGGGTCTGAAAAAGCGGCACCCAAATGGTGTTCCGTGGAACCCTAGGGTTCCGTTAAGAGTTACAGGGGTTCCACGAGTTAGTACTTTTTATAGCCAGTGATGAGTTTCAAAACCTCAGAGTGTATGTAGATACAAATCTATAATTTATTTAACATTTCGGTTGCCTTTATGAAATTAATTCTGAGAAAATACCAATAAAATAGAAATGGCATTTTTTAAAAGAAAATATAATATTTCTAATAACAATATATTGAATAAATTATGAAAAGGGCAGGCATTCATAAAATATTGCATTAGTATTCCTCATCACGCTTTTTCGATCAAAATAATTATCTTCTTTAATAAAGAAATATGTTTCCTAAATAACCATTTTCAACGTTTGTAGCAGTTTTTCTAAATTTTCATTTCGAAGTAAACCATAATTCAGCTTATTTTAACTTATTTATTTTCTATTTAAAACATTAAAAACGAATTCTTAGTTAGACTAAATATAGCACAAGAGCTGGAAATTTAACTTTCGGATATTAATGATGAAACAATGAAAATTTCCTTCTTCTATTTAAATATTTTAAAAATAAAGTTTAATAGGCTATAACGTTACCTTAAAAAACTTTATTTGTGAAGTCGGGTTTTCCGCTGAAAGTAGGGGAATTATCTAGGATTCCGTAGTCGAAAAATATTGGGAACTGTTGACCTAGATTCAAACACTAAAACAGTCTAAACTAATTTGTACGACCTCCTCTAATAACGACTATTTTAAAAAAAAGAATCGATTCATAAAACCGTTCATTTTAGTGAATCGATTCTTTTAAACGAATCTATTGGCACATCACGATTCCTTAATAACAATGCAGGGGCGGAGTATCACCGCCCGCCTGCACTTCTTTAAATATAAATTGTAGTAGGGAATTTCACCTGTGTTAGAGTCTTTGGAGTCAAATTTTCATAATATACTTTTAAAACTTTAATATTATTGGTAGATAAATTTTATCGCTTATCGTGTAAATTAAGATAATGTGACTGACAAATTCGATTTGAAAAATAGTACATTTTATTGTTTGCAACCTATACGCAATACAATTGATTCATATACACAATTTATTTTGATTGCGTGAAAAGTTTAAATATGCTTCTCTCTTGTAAAGGTTTAATTGGTTTCTGTTTCATTGAAGCTGAGAATATTCAAGTTACGCCTACTTTTCTAACCGTAGATTTGCAATTACTATAAGCAGAACTGTTTTATAGCGTTCAGGCTTCAAAAATAATATAGTATAACTTTCATTATTTTTATGTATGTTAATCCATTTAGATGTAATTCTGTGGTTTAACATCATTTAAATTAAACTTAAAATCCAAGATATAAATGGGACGCATCAGTGGCATTGTTTTGGGGAGGGTTTTGAGGAAAAGACCCTCTTCGAAATTATATATATTACTTGATTAATTAACTATTGTACGGAACTCAGGATGCAAATATAAGAAAGATTTCATTCTTCAGTGTTTTGTAGTTTAAACGTTTATTTTATTTTATTACCGCCGTTGAATTGTCGACCCAATTTTATGGGTTTACGACTACTAAAGTTCAACTCCGTAGCCGTGTAATTTTGAACCCAATCCAGAAGACGAGGGAAATCCTGGATCGAGTATTAGGGGAAAGTTTGCCATCGTGGAGGACTTTTTTGATGGAACTAACACGCATTTGCGTTACATGGAGAGGGAGACCACGAGAACCTCCCACGGTTAGCCTGACGGCAAGGGGACTCTAACCCATGATCCGTCTACAACTGAGGATATTTTACGTCAGCACTGTGGTAGGTGCAAGCCGGATGCGGAATTCGTATCGACTGGGATACGAACCCTGTTCGCCTCATTGGAAGGCGAACGCTCTATCCACCACGGGCCCTGAGCCATCGCGGCTCAGTTTAAATGTTTAGAATATATTAGAGGGAGACAGGACCGGGATAGCCTGGTTGGCAGGACACTGGACTCACGTTCGTGAGAACGAGAGTTCGCATCCAGCCGGCCAAAAACTCCCCTGTGTTGTAAATGGCGACTGGTGCAGATTGAATCAGTCTGGTCAAAAGTCCTCCATGTTCTCATAACAATCCGCGATTAAAATTATCTACTAAAATTTTTTTTCCTTGTTAATTTATATAATTTTTCCATGCGCAAATCCATTTTGGGCAAATCCGTGGGTAAAATTATTTACTAAACATTTCTTTATTAACTTATACAATTTTTCCATGTGTAAATCCATTTCGGGCAAATCCGTGTTAAAATTATCTACTAAAAATTTTTTTTCTTTGTTAATTCACATAATTTATCCATGTGCAAATCCATTTCGGGAAAATCCGTGGCTAAAATTATGTGCAAACTAGGCAATTCATGTTTCTCTTTTCTATTTTTTTCTCAAATAAATATTTATTTTCTCTAATTATTTATGGTCAACTTCTTTAAATTATCCAGTATAAAATTACCCTGCGTACATCCATTTCGGCCCCTTCCTTGTTAACTACCAAATCAAAAGCACTTCAGCAATGCAGTAAGAACGGCACTTTAAAACTAAACTCCTCCAGTTACGCTCAATTTGCGCTTTTGTTTTCATATTTTGCAATCTGGCAGTCTTGTATTTTTTTCGAAAATATTTTTTTCATCATTCTTGAAAAATTTCCCGTTTATGTAAGTACATTTGAGTTCGCTACTCGCTATATAGGTTTTGTTTTATTCTGTTATTTCTTTTTTTTTATTTTCTGTTTTTACGTGTTATTTTTACTTATTGAGTTCTATTTTATCTGTTGTAATTTTTGTAAAAATTTTTTTGAGTGCTCCTTACACTATTGCATTAATTGCTTTGGCTATATTGATACAATAGCAGAAAGCACTCTGTTTTGCGGATATAATCGTGTGGGCTGATGAAAAGATTATATCTTTTATTTTCCGGATTTTTAAAAAAAATTTAACCCCTTTATTTCCAGTTTGTTATTTTTTTATTATTATTTTTCTTTCCCCCCTTTTTTTCATATGTCTGTAATTTTCCTTTGTTTTATCTTCATTTTGAACTTATATATAATGCAGAGATGCCAACTGCTCCAGACACGCCAAAATACTTAAAAAAAAACGGTAAATAACTACAAGGTAAATTTTGCAAATACTTGACTATTTCTGCTTGATTATTATAAGGCATAGCATGGCGTAAGTTCCATAAAGAGGTAAATAATATAAGCCTACGAATTATTTTGAAATGGTGGTGGATAAAAATCTACTAAATTGAATTTATTAAACCAAGAATCACAATTGATAAACTACCACTTTAAAATATATATTTGCTGTCCGGAGCAAGTTGGCATCTCTGTATTATGTATAAAAGTTTATTTCACGAGTAACTTGAAAATAACAGTACAAGTATGGTCCCTTCCCCTATAAATTTTATCTGACAACGCCATTGCAATGCACACTTTTTAATACAATATGTTTGACATAGAAGTTGAAAGTGGACAAATAGTTTCTACTATAAAAATTACACTGATATAAAGGAAAATTAACTGAAATGAACTTTTGGCTGAATATGTTCTAACCCTTCACAAAACTGTAATAATAAGAAAAATTGTGTAATTATAAAGTTCAATTATTAATAATTGACAGTGCCTTCAGAATATTTCATGCATAGAATTTTTTAATAACGTCTAATCGTTATCTATCTATATATGTAATAAAATAAAGAATTTTTTTCGCGAGTGCGTGTGTGTGCGTACAAATACAAAAGATTGGTCATCACGAAACAACATGGGCATGGGGGAAGGTGTCGTAACTTAGGTACTACACATATGTTTATTAAATCATTTTGTTTTACCTTTGCAACTTTTACTGACTTCATCGAACTTTTGGCCACTTTTTGTACATTCGCAATACGCATGTCCTCCAATTCCAATGTTGTAGAAATATTTACAGGCTACGTTATCTCCTGTTCCACAATCAACAATTTTGTTGAAACAGTCGTCGATAACTTCACAATTTTGACCACTGGTCCCTTCTACGCAGTGGCAAGACCGTTTGTCTTCAGTGTCTGTGTAATTACATTGTTCCCATGATTGGCAACGATCAGCGCATGCGCCATGAATGGTGCTGCACTCTTCGTTATTATTGCATTCAGCTGGAAGTTAAAAACAAAAATTAATAGATGATTGTGAATGATAATGATAAAAAACTAGATGATGATGAATTAGATAATGATGAACGATAATGTTGATGAATGATGATAATGTGAACGAAAGGGTATTTTCTTTCTAGCAAGGATTTTAAAAATCAATTGAAGACCATAGTGGAAAAAGGTTTTTATAATATTTTTGAAAAAAAGATTTTTGTTGAAACTCTCCTTAAAACCATCAATCGATTCCTCTTGAAAATGTCGCTGTGGTCAAAATTTTGATATTTGAAGGTTGGAGCTTTTATTTAACACGTTCACGCCGGGGTGACCCACCAGTGTGTCACGCAAGATCGTCTCATCGGGCGAAGCACCGGAGAAAAAACTGGTAAAAAATAAATTTCATTTTTTAGTTTTTTTCCGGTAATAATAAAAATCTATAACTACCAATTGTTTTTAACGGATGCAATTTTTATATTGAATTGCTTTATCACCGTGATAAATTTCCTTAAAGTTAATTGTTATTGTTGAGAATAGATTAACTCCTCCCGAATATTATCTAATATTGAAATAGTTCTTCTACCAGAATTTTCCCTTTTCCGTCCCGCTTTCAGGCGCAACACCCGGCGTGAACGTGTTAAATGCTGCAAATTTTAATGATTAGTCGATATGACTAGATAGAACATAAATAATTTAACTTTCGAATAAAAATGAAATAATATTTGTTTAAAAGGAACATTTGTGTGATGGATAATTTTCCCTCACATAAGACGGGATCATCTCGGATCTAACACGAACTTAGAAAGAAGACTTCAAGTTCAGGATAGATATACTTCTTGCTACTTTCAGACAAAATATATACAGTAGAATATCGAACGTCGATTCACCAGATTGTTCAATTATCCGGATTGTTCAAGGATTGATTCGTGTTTTTTACACCTTATTCTTGTTGTTCTTCTTCTTCAAAAAAAAAATAAATAAAAATATTTATGTATATATATATATACATATATATATATATATATTATACACAAATTAACATGAAAAACATGAATAAAATAAAAAACTAAATTGTAGAGAAACAAGAATGGTAAAAGCAAATAGTCGTTATCAAGACACATCTATTGCTATAAATGCGATATTTCTGAATAAAGAATAATTATCCTAAGATAAAAATTATTCTTTATATGTGTCGATATCGCAAAAAACCTTATGTTGTAAAAAATCATGAAATAAAAGAAAAATGTAAAAAGAAATCAAACTTACCGGCGTGAATTAAAACGCTGTTTAGGTTTAAAAGTACAATAATAAAACAGTTAACAAAAATCGCGACGATGTAAAATATTGGAAGTTGTGCTTATAGCTTGAATCGATTAAAATAAAATTAAAAAATATATATAAATTTGATCGAAGAAGAAGAAAAAATTTTTTTTATGTTAAATATTAGTGTTGCCATCTATGAGAAAAAATCAGTAAAAATGTAATAAAATTGAAATAATAATAAAAAAGGTTAACGGATTGATTAAAAAATTTGCAGACTAAAAAAAAAAAAAAAATAGGGAAATTTATAGGGAAATTTATTTAAAAGTCAGTCTGTACAATTGGATAGAAAGCCGTTTATAGACTTTATCCTTCATTCATAAATCCTTACAAAATTTTACAGAATACACATATCCATCTTTCATAGGGTGACTTATTTAAAAAGTATATATATATATATAGAGATGGAGTTTCACCATGTTG